CCATTTTTAAGCTATAAATTCAAACAAACGTCATAATTATGTGTCATAATTAAAGTTTTGTTGTGACGTTAAAGTACTATAGTTACGATCATGAGCGATGTTCATATTACGATATGATACGAGGCAGATATTTATTTCCTAAGAAACCTATAAACAAAAGAATATGCAATAACTGTGACACAAATTCAATTGAAGATGAAGAACATTTTCTATTGAATTGCCCAAAATATAACACACACAGGGAAAACTTCATCCAAAAAATTATGACACAACTTTCATCCAAAAATAAAAATATACAGTTCACATATATACTCTCAAGCAAAGATCCTGGCATAATTACAGAACTTGCCAATTATATTTACACAACACAAAGATTTATATGTATATGTACTATATGTGTGTATAGCACAAAGTGTGCATGATGTAGGAGAAGGCAAACGAGAGAATGGAACATCAGAATGCATAGTTCTGATGGCATTGTCTAAAAGGTGCAGTAAATATGAAAGATACCTGGTTATCAGGCGTGATAATATACGATTCTATCGGTGTTGGAAAACTGCTACCATCATGAATTTCAAGTTTCTTCAAAATATTACCATCATCATCAATCACTCGAAGGTCTCGCTTTGTACCTACAGGACATATGATTTATAAATGTGTCTATTTCTTTTTATGGAGGTGATCAAAATTGAACCAGCACGGTTTCCAACCTAGGGAGCTGTGAAGAGCAACTGTGTCATATGCAGAGCTACTGTAAAATACTTTATTTTAGCTTGAATTAATTTTCTCTGAAATATGTTTTTGGGTGTTTTGTATGTTTTCACTGATTTCTGACGAGTTGAATGTGAAATACTAGTATAGGAAAAAAGGTATATTCGCTGGATTTTATTTTCACTGAATCATTTCTTCAGCGAAAATTAATTCCAAGCGAAAATAATGCATTTCACAGTATTTTGTCTTGTCCAAATATAGTATACTCACAACACCACAGCTGTTTTTTAATCCATTTTATTCCAATCAATGACTTCACATTTTCCAAAGTTAGTTGCTTTATTTTCTGCAACGTATCTGTATTCCAGGACATAATTTGACCGTTTAAACTCGCAGAAAATGCCACACTGAAACAAAAAAAATAGTGGTTTTTAATACATAGATCTACACTGTGTATCTCCTGTTACTGATCAGATTCATCCATTGTATACCATTATATAGTTCAGTAGAAGATAACTACCGTAAAAACTCTAAAATTTTGGCCAGTTTTGAATAATTTGTTTTTTTGAAAGTCAAATTTTTAGACTCACGAAATCACCGAAAATTGGACAAAATTTTGGAAGAAATATTGGTCATTTTGGAATAACATGGGAAGCTTTTTGGGTTTCTTTTAGAGGGTCTATGAAATAACGTGCGGTAAGTGTTCAGCTAGGGGTCACGACCTACATGACCTAATTTACACGAGAGTGAAAAAAAAACAAGCATGTAACGGCGGCGTATAAATAAAATTTACTAATAAGTTATAGACCTTAGAAAAGATTACATTTTGGGCGATCAATGAAATTGGTCTTACAGTTATTGATAGAGTGCCACAGTATCTGCAGTTATTGAGTTAATAAATAAATAAAACTGTTATTGTTGGTATGAACTCATCATGATGTAAATCATTGAAAAAAATGCAACTTTATTTTATCCAAAACAATAAACTTTGATTGTAACGGTATTTCTTTTTGGAGGATGTGGTGGCCCTGAAAAGGGCCGTTTGATTTGTGCAGCAAAATATATTGCGGATGTCGGTGAACCCCTCAAACCACAAACAGCCTGTTCGTTGTGTGTGAAGCTATTCTCACTGCCATCTAATGCATTGAATATTACATCCATGGATATGCGGATTAGTGGGCGGATGTGTACCACTCCGTCCCAAATGTGTGAGACTGGTATTACCGGACGCTGTCTTTTGGAAAATCACTGCGGTGAAATTGTGATTTTGGCGGTGTCTACATGAGGGAAAATAAACTGCGAATAGGCCTACGTCGCTTAAAAATACGCAAACCGGGAAGTCAAATAAGTGTTAAAGTTGGAAGCTTGCGAGTTTAGTTTCCGATTTATTTACTTACTCAATTTTTGTTTGATTCCATACTGAGTGTTTAAAATGCATGGGAGCTTGGCCGATGTAAAACGTACTCCGGGAAACAGACACCCCGCTCATTACAGCTCCCTGCTGGGACATTCTGCTTACATTTGAGAAATTTCTGTACTCGTTCTAGTAATAATCATACTGTACTCTTCGGTCGCCCACGTCTGTAAATTTTGACTTATTTTGTTGTCGGCCTACTTGTCATACAGACACATTTATTGTAAACACATCACTGGGGCCCACACAAGTCAAGCGTCTAAGCAAACACAGAATAGGATTCACGCAATGGGTGCTGTCCTTTGCTTTAAATGCAAATTGTTTTTCTCAACGACCGGCAAAAACGTTGCGTCCGGTTTTATTTTAGATCGACCTTTTTAAGAGCAAATACAAACTCTGATCTTTTTTTATTAAATAATAAATTTCATAGAGATAACAATGAATACATGTGACTTAAATGTTATTTTAGTTCATGCAAACTATGCGGAAGCAAACCTGACCTCGCTCACATTCGACGAGTACAGGAGTGCAGAAACCCGTAATCTGACAGGGTTGGTGCGAATTACCAAGAACTCCGCGATATGAAAGTTTGGTCGAATTTTCAGAGTCGCAAAAACCGGCATTTCTGGGCAGAGTCGAAATTTCGGAGGTTGTAAAATTACGGAAACTCACCCAAAAAAACAGCGGGCGAATTACTAGAGCGGTCGAAATTTTAGAGTTTTTACGGTACCACAAGACTGAACATGGATTAGGTTTTTCAAGGTTATGAAACGTGATGAACATCTAATACACAAATCATGTTTACATTAATTTGAAGTTGTAGTAATAAATGTAATAATTTGTCATTCTTAAATGACGGTCTGCAAGGGGTATTTTCGTGAGCTGTAATCAATTGATTTTATTTTTGTAATGTAATTTAAATAAATAAAAAACGTAAATTCATAGACATGGGCAAGTTGTAAAATGTAATCAGCTGTTTTATTCATCCGTAATTTGTACAAAGATCTTTAATATTTTTCGTAAGCGTTTAAAGCGTTTTCCACACTAAATGCAATTTCCAATTTTGATTCTTAAAAACAAATTATCAAATATATTATAAAAATTTAATTAGGAATTTGCTTTATCTGTAAAGTGTAAAAACCTATTTTTTACTGGAACTTTCATTTTATTTCTTGTAAAAATGTAAAATGCCTTTTCCTCTAACCTGTACAAGCTATCCCCTCCTTTAAATCAGACACAAAGTCAGAATGTCACTGTCAGCATAGTGGTTGTTGCATCAGACTCATGATCGGTAGACTCATGTTCAAATCCTACCTTAGGCTGAACATCAAATAGGTTGACCCATACCCTGGGTGAGTGTGCCACAGACTCAATGGGAAGGCCAATTCCACTGGCCGAGATTCATTCACTAACGAATGCGACCTTGGGGGAACCTTGGTTAAGATCCGCAGGTGCTTGTGTTCGACCGGGCCTGGTTGACGCCAGGATAGCGCATTACAAATTGCCATTTGATAAGGAGATGGCCACACAGCCCTGTCATGTAATCAGCACTAGCACTAGCACTTGCAATTAGCACTTACAAAAAAAGTCAGAATGAATCGTTTTTTGCTGTACTTACCTTTCATCATCGTTGATTGTTAAATCAGACACAAAGTCGGTATGATCTATGAGTCGTTTATTCGCTGTGTTACTTGCTACGTCTATTATGTAAATTGTGGTATCAAATGAACCAGCCCATACCTGGTGACCTTTGACACTAAGAAGACAACACTGAAATGAGAAGAGAACATAAGAAAATTTTGAAGGATTAAACATTTGAATTCCATCATTACAGTGTATTGTTATAATTAAATGAGTGCAAAGAAAGTCTGAGAACACGCCCATTCTGGCCCAACAGACTTTCCATTCATCATGAGATCCCATGTAATGTGTGAATCCAAACATAAAAACAGAACAAACAAAGGTGATATTTTGGGATATTTTAATGCTTATTAATGTACTATACACATTCGATTATGGTCAATTTTGATGAAGTAATGGTATCTTAACGCAATATTCTCTCTCAAAAATCGGCATTTGACATTGAACTATACAAACGTAAATTCAAAATCAAATTGTTTGATTTTTGTGGCAGACATTTGGTCCACGCTTTTCATACAATATGCAAGATTTTGCTGTTAAAGGAAAAGCACCTGTTATGTTTAATGTGCTGACTAAGGAGCATGAGCTGTGAGCATGAGCATGAGCACATGAGTAGATGCACAGTGATATGTAACATGTAACATGGCATATATTTATGGTAAAAACATGTAAATAGCTGAATAATAATAAACAGTCCACCAAAAATTGTTATGCTGTTTACATGTGCATAGCCAGATGTCTAGGTGCTGTTTACATGTGCATAGCCAGATGTCTAGGTGCTGTTTACATGTGCATAGCCAGATGTCTAGGTGCTGTTTACATGTACATAGCCAGATGTCTAGGTGCTGTTTACATGTGCATAGCTAGATGTCTAGGTGCTGTTTACATGTGCATAGCCAGATGTCTAGGTGCTGTTTACATGTGCATAGCTAGATGTCTAGGTGATGTTTACATGTGCATAGCCAGATGTCTAGGTGCTGTTTACATGTGCATAGCTAGATGTCTAGGTGATGTTTACATGTGCATATCCAGCTGTCTAGGTGCTGTTTACATGTGCATAGCCAGCTGTCTAGGTGCTGTTTACATGTGCATAGCTAGATGTCTAGGTGCTGTTTACATGTGCATAGCCAGATGTCTAGGTGCTGTTTACATGTACATAGCCAGATGTCTAGGTGCTGTTTACATGTGCATAGCTAGATGTCTAGGTGCTGTTTACATGTGCATAGCCAGATGTCTAGGTGCTGTTTACATGTGCATAGCTAGATGTCTAGGTGATGTTTACATGTGCATAGCCAGATGTCTAGGTGCTGTTTACATGTGCATAGCTAGATGTCTAGGTGATGTTTACATGTGCATATCCAGCTGTCTAGGTGCTGTTTACATGTGCATAGCCAGCTGTCTAGGTGCTGTTTACATGTGCATAGCCAGATGTCTAGGTGCTGTTTACATGTGCATAGCCAGCTGTCTAGGTGCTGTTTACATGTGCATAGCCAGCTGTCTAGGTGCTGTTTATATGTGCATATCCAGCTGTCTAGGTGCTGTTTACATGTGCATAGCTAGATGTCTAGGTGCTGTTTACATGTGCATAGCCAGATGTCAAGGTGCTGTTTACATGTGCATAGCCAGATGTCTAGGTGCTGTTTGCATGTGCATAGCCAGATGTCTAGGTGCTGTTTACATGTGCATAGCCAGATGTCTAGGTGTTGTTTACATATGTATAGCTGGGTGTATAGGTGCTGTTTGCATGTGCATAGCCAGATGTCTAGGTGCTGTTTACATGTGCATAGCCAGATGTCAAGGTGCTGTTTACATGTGCATAGCCAGTTGTCTAGGTGCTGTTTGCATGTGCATAGCCAGATGTCAAGGTGCTGTTTACATGTGCATAGCCAGATGTCTAGGTGCTGTTTGCATGTGCATAGCCAGATGTCTAGGTGCTGTTTACATGTGCATAGCCAGATGTCTAGGTGCTGTTTACATGTGCATAGCCAGATGTCTAGGTGCTGTTTACATATGCATAGCCAGATGTCTAGGTGCTGTTTACATATGCATAGCCAGCTGTCTAGGTGCCGTTTGCATGTGCATAGCCAGATGTCTAGGTGCTGTTTACATGTGCATAGCCAGATGTCTAGGTGTTGTTTGCATTGCCAGCTGTCTAGGTGTTGTTTGCATGCGCATTGCAAGCTGTCTAGGTGCTGTTTGCATGTGTATAGTTGGCCAATGCTTGAGCCATATTGTGGATATAGCAGGATGTTTTCTCATCATGTGATGCTCAGTTAGCCAATCAGAGAGTGCCATTTGGTACTACTTACTACTCTATCTTTTGCTTGAATGAACTGCGATTCACATATCCATGTACTTGCATCAAAAACGCGAATTTTTCCTGATCCTAAAGCACACCATAATTTAGGGCTGTTATCTTCCTCACCGTCACTACGATCTAAAAATGAAATAAAATGATTGAAGTTACCTTCTAATGATACATATACTGTGGAATACTTTATTTTCGCTGGAATTAATTTTCACTGAAAAGGCTTTTTGGGCGTTTTGTATGGAATTTATTTTCACTGATTTCTGATGAGTTTAATGTGAAATATAGGAAAAAAAGTTTATTCCTGGGATTTTATTTTCAGGGAATCATCCTTTCTGCGAAAATAAATTCCAAGCGAAAATAAAGTATTCTACAGTACATTTTTGTATACCAGCTAGTCTAACACAAGTTTGTAACAGCTGACATAATGATGGCATTCACTTAAAACATAGTGCAACTATTGTAACCCTGCCCAAATCATTATCACATGTCATAAGATGACACAGTCCCTGTTAGTTAAGGCAGAATGCTGGACAAGTTTTTCACTTGTGTGCATATTTTAGTGCATATGGTAGCGATATTTTGTGCCAAATTCTGTCTACAATTATTCGTTTTAGTATTAGTCACATATGTGACTTTTTTGGTTCACTGACAATCTGTTTTTGTGAAAAACAGTTAAATATTACGTGTAAAATACCATTTTAACAGTGG